TGTTTGTGTTTTCCAAGTACTTTACTAACTTGTAAAGTTACTAACACATTTTAAATTCCACAGGTTTTCACCTTATTTTCTCTCAGGATTTTTAGGCAGACCATAATAAAATATTGAGTAATGTTACCAATTATGAAACAGAGTAGGAGATGGGCGGAAGCGAGTAAATGTCAAGGACAGAAACCCCTCATCTGAATCAGGAAGCATGCACACGTGGCTGGGTATCTGAATCTGGGGGTGTACACATAAGGCTAGGCATCAGACATACCATACAATGCTGAGGGCAGCATGTTTTTCACTAGCCTTTAGCTATCACCACATTTTTTTTATTAAATTTTCTGAGAGTTATTTAATTTTTATATTATGTATATGAGTGTTTTGTCTGTGTGTATGTTTGTGAAGTATGTGCACACAGTGCCCTCAGAAGCCAAAAGAAGGTGCTGGATCCCCTAGAACTGGAGTTATACATTTTTAGCTACCAGGTGGGTAACAGGAATTAACCTGGTCCTCTGAAAGAGCAGTTACATGCTTTACCTGCTAAGCCATCCCTCAAGCCCCAGCACTATGTTTTAAAGGCGTCTCAAACATTTAGAGTCACTAAACAAAGACTCAGAAAAGGCTCCTGTGTATTCACTGAGTCCAAGTGGGACCCTAACTGGGACAAACTCCGGACTTGGGAAGAAAATCCACAAAAACCACGAAGCTTAAGTCATTAGACTGTTAGAATCATTCTGGAAACAGGGCACTAATCTAAGAAGCAAATTCAAACAATGCATTTATTTTTAAATAATGTGTCTGCAGATATATCGAGGTAAAAACAAAACACATATATAAGGACATATAAATATGTTTATACATAAGCAGATATTATTTTTAATTTTTCCAAAATTCATAAAGCACTTCGAATAAAGAGTTTTCTATAATATGTGCAAGGATTTTTATTCTCACCTCACACTAACTTACAACGCAATGTAATCCCAAGAAAAAGTTACCCAAAAGGACCCCTCTGTGAAGAGTTTCAGAAGAATAGATATATCAGAAAACCAAAAATAGTTTTTGAAGTATACAGGAGAACTGGAGGTGCCACTGTGAGGTGTGCTATGGCACCACAGAGCTGAAGATGCCAATGAAATATGCAAACACAGCCAAGGGAAGTCCAAAGCAGGCATGACCTTAGTTCAGAGAGAGGACAGTTATTCCAAAACCCTGCTGTGAGATCAATTCACAAGTCATGAAAGAAACAGTCTTAGATCTCTAACTCAGATTGTGCTCCAAATTAAATTCTGTTGTGAAATGGAAGGAGAGAGAAAAGCAGGAAAGTCACTTCAGGAACCGCAGGCAGTGTACCTGCCCAGGGCATAATTCACTTGCCTCTCGAGATCTGCTGTCACTTTTCTTTACAATCTCTCTGTTAAGTGGCTCCAGATAACCTGGCTTCTCTTTGAATTTTGTCAGTGGGCAAGAAGACAGAGTAACCCACTCAAAAACAACAACAAAAAAACCCCAAAAACAAACAAACAAAAAACCCATAAGACTAACCATAGCTTGTATCAATAGTATTGGGAGAAAGAATGGCAATTCTAAGAGGAATATGGATTTGTGGCATAGACTGTCCCAGCTCAAGTCAAAAAAAAAAAAAAATGAGGGTAAACCTCTGTTCACTCAAAGTGACTGTGAGACATGCAGAACACAATACAGGATCACACTGACAATAACATCATAGGAAGGCACAGCACAAGACATGCTGGAGGTGGGGGTGGGGGGCACAAAGCACTTCAGGCACACTATGAACTAACAGAGTTCCCAACTCAACCCCTCTGTAGAAGCCAACTCCAGCCCCTGTGGAAGTCCACTAAGTGACAACTCTCAACTGGCACATCACCACGGCTCCAGGGCTCAGAGGCTGGAAGTAGCAGTTCCCTTAATATGGGCACAGGACAACTGAGGCCAGTGGATGCTCCAGCAGAACCCAAAAGGTTTACTCCCAAGAGAAGTGATTGCAGTGTCCAGAATTGCAGAGGATGCTGATGGCTGAGTAATAGCAGGAGAGAGCATGTTGGCAGTGGGCATGAACAACCACTGTGAAGTACCCTTTTAGACTAAAAAGACTCTAGAAACCACCATTAAGATAACAGATTCTTCTGTATCAGCTCCTTTCCTTTTTAGCTTGAACAAAAATTAATTCATAGGACTAAGTGATTTCTTAAGCCTCTCAAAAGAATGCTGATTAGAAAAAAATCAATAAAGTGGCTGAGGGCATCACAGGGAAGAGTAGGGGGAACCCATGATGGAAAAGTTAGGCTTTATATGGAATGATCACCTATCTCAACAGCGCAGAATTCCAACAGTACATGTGAAATACTGAAATCTTACTCTCTTGTTTCTTTACATCAGCGACTAATAAAGTCTGGCAAGAATAAAGTACACTAAAGATGTAAAAGCTCAAGACTTCAGCTACCTTGAACTGCCTTCAATCAGACCTCTGTCTCTAAGCTCCCTAGTGACTGGCTACTTCAGTATGTTTCCCCAGGGAAAAGGAAGCCAATGGAGAGTCCATAAAATATGGTCAATTACATACCAAATTCTTCTGAGATTTCACTTTACTCAACAACAGAGCTTAAGATAGGCATGGTGTGTGTGTGTGTGTGTGTGTGTGTGTGTGTGTGTGTGTGTGTGTGTGTGTGTGTGTGTGTGTATACTTTCTCAAAATTATCAGTGAGGTACAAAATGTGTGGGTTATCTTATTCTTCTGTGGAAACCACATCTCCTAAAATACATCAGTACTAGAAGATTACCAGGCAGCCAAGTGCCAGACACAGAAACAGAGTAGTGCCAAAGTACTACCACTGAGGGATTCCTGGGATTGCATAGCCAGCCCGTTGTCATATTACTTCACCCAAAGAACTATCATTATTACCTCTTTCATCTGCCCCCTTCTCCCCAGGTCATTTAAAGTCTTAATGGCTCTGGCAACACATGTCAGAAAGACCAGGAACCACTGCCAAGGTTAACTGGGATGGATGCTCCTGCAAGCTTACAGAAGTGAAAGACAAAGGAATAAGACAATGCAAAGACTAAGGAGCAATTCAAAATCAGACTAGACCGGATTTGAGATGCACATATGACATTTCCTTCCTTTTCTACTCAGCAAATGCCCATCACATCAAGGAAGGTTGACATGCTATACTAATTAGAACAAGACTAAAATCTCTAACTTAGGAATTAGGACTCATTGCATTCTTTGTTTTGTTAGTTAAGGCAAATTTCAGGTCATTTAATTGCTCACTCTGAACCATGATAAGCAAATAACTTGGTGGGTGGGTCAATATTGTGATCATAGATAGTATACAATGTGGGTGTGTGCCAGAAAACTGAAATGGCTGTACATATTTTCACTAAGGATAAAATATTTTTCATCCTGTAAGAAAAGCAATGCAGAAAAATAACATGATATGAAGTAGTTACTGTCCCAGAAAAAAAATCACAAGTTTGTGGTTGGTATGTGGAAGCTATAGACTCCCTCCAGTCTCCCTTACCAATGTATATATTCTCAACTACTAATACTTGATATTACAGAACAAATACAAAAACATAAAAAGCCTACTGAGCCAACTAAACTTTGAGTCATTTACAAAAACAAGTATTTTTCTATAATTATGTAAACTGCACTTAATATGCATGTTTATCAACAGCAAAAAAATATAATAAGCCACATATAAAAGAAGAATAAAGGAAGCGCTTTCCTTCAGCTTCTGAAGATTCACTGCAGTGAACTGCTAACATGGGTAGAATGGGAACAGACACAAATGTGAAGCACATGGAGGAAGTCAGGAAGTCATGAGATTTAGCAATGAAGATTCCCCTGTACCATGAGGAAGACAGAAAATAGCAAATGCAAAGTCCTTGGGCTCACAGAACAGACAAAAGATTGTAAATGATTCTTTTCTACAGGAGAACTTTCCCCCCTGAATATTGACCAGGACTGAAATAGAAAACGGTGGCATTTTTGCAAAAGCCTGTCCAGCTGCATCATGGACTTCAGCTTTCTTTTTCTTCCTACCACATGACTTCAGTTAAGTGAAAACTCACAAAGACCAGAGGTGACTGGTTTCTCAGAAAGCCGCTTCTAGCACCTGCCAATTTCTAGGCAATCATCTAAATAAAATAAATGCAATGTCACCCTATTTTGGAGTGACAGTCCCTAGGTATGACAGATAAGTCTCCAAATATCAGAAAGAAAGTAAAGAGGTTTCAATAAAAACCAAACCCCTCCCCCTACCACACACACACACACACACACACACACACACACACACACACACACACACCAAAAAAAAATTAAAATACATTCATGTCTAGTTCTACTTGATTTTTTTTTTAAATTTTCATGTGAACTTTTCATTTAAAGAGTGAAATATCTAGAGTCCTATTCCATTTGATTAGATTCAAGTTGAGTTCCTGGGAAGTTGTCCAGAGAGTTAGATTGCTTTAAAATTGGACATGCGTTAAATGAAGCTTTGTCTAGCAAAAGTGAGCGAGTAACTGATATGGCATCTGTATGTTCAGTCCGCACAAGGTTCCTTTATCTGGGAAGCATTACTCAGAGACAAACAGCACATCAGATTACAGTTCTGGAGAATCACACTCGCCTCCTCTACCAATGCTGCCAGTTCACACAAACATTATATGTGCATTAGCCACCTGCTTCCAGAAGAATTTGTAATCTACCTGCTCCCTTTCGCTCCCCAAAGGCTCTCCTACTTGACACGTGTGCCCCCTTTCATTCACTCCATGGCAGTCACCTTTCAGCCCTAAGAGGTTCACTCGCAGTAAATGTGCAAAGCGGTGAGCTTTAATACCAGGGGCAAAAACAGAAGAAGCCTTCTGCATTACAATGTGTAATGAAACCAGACCCCCAATTCTGAGAGTTCTCTGGACTTGCACTAAAAGCCATTGCAGGAAGAGGTTGGTTCCTGGGTGCCAGGTTCCTTTCACGTTACCTGCTTCAGTGTACTTCAGTCCCACTTTTTCTTCTGTGTCTTTTGTCTTTGGGGGTGGCCAGACAGCTTGGAGTCTGCCAGGAGTCCTGTCATCCTGCTCTGTGGGGCTCTGGTCCGGCTGTGCAAAACAGGTACAGAATAATTTAAGTGGAGTGTGGCCAGAGCACATTGATTCTTGAAAACACACATCCTAACACTAATTCTAATATCGATTTAACACCCAGTGGCACGTTGCTCCTATTACTTGTAATTGAGCCATCTCAGTACAGTATGAACCTTTTTCCAGAAGGGTAAAGGATCAGTTGGGGTAAAAACTAAAGCAAACGAAACAAAAATCAATCAATCAATCAAACAAACAAACAAATGCAAAACCCTTATGACTACCTAACATGCAACCCTTTATGTATTATTTTTGTTATTCAGCTTTTTAAAGGGCGCCAATAATTTTTGAACTGCAGAAACAAAAACAAATGCATAATCATCTGGCATATTTATAGGAATATTTACAAATTTACTCCAAACAAACTGCACTATTTACATTAAGGACTAAGTTTGCATTCTCCATGAACATTAGCAATAATTGAAGACACACTTCTCTAAGCATTCCACACTAATTTTAATTCTTTCCTATTACAAAATAAGAGAGATCGATTCCATGTTCAAGTTTTGTTTGTTTGTTTTTTAAACAGAAGTTGCATTTTACAACTATAATGCCATGGTGTGTTTAGATTTAACAACTTATGATAATTTTCTAGCGACTTCAATTTTTAATAGCTTAATTAAATATACAAGCAGACATGATAATCCTATACTGAATTGATGTTTAACAAGAAATTCTACCCATTGTTCCCATGAACTTTCAATGCCAAACATTCCCTGGTCATTATAAATTAACTTTCTTTGAATAATTACATCTTTTATTAGCTAGAGTATCTTGTGTTCTGATTTTATTTATTCTTTCCATAAGGGTGAGGGCTAGGTCCCTCTTTTTGTATATGGGGAGACAGGCTCAGAGATTATCAAGGTCACCTCGTCATAAATGGCAGAGTCGGGATTAAAAACCAGCTCTCATTTTAAATTTAGTACTCAGCCAAGAAGCCACATAAACAACACAGAACATTTCAGTAACATCATAAATACATATTTTGCTAAATGGCACACTTTCAAAGGAGAGCCTTGTGTTCACAGGAGGATAATTGAATGGTGAGGAAATCCCTATAAATTTGGGCTATACTTGCACATCACATCACTTCCCCATGTTGCTAACGTTTTATAAGCACAATGACCATTGATGTTTAAACTTAGGGTGCACATTTTCCCTTCCTTCCCACACATCCTTACACAGATAACAATTACATTCAAGAAAAACAGAAGAAAGAGATGTACTTCTGTCCAACTTGGTACTCTTTTGCAAGATAAATTTAATATCATTATTATATTTTTTTACTAAAGAAAATAAAATACTAATAAAGACAGGCAACTAGGATTCATTTTAACAGGAAACCTGGAAAGAAAAAAATTGCAGCATTATATGTTATGTCAAAATGCAGAACCCAATTCTACATACGCTTTTGGGATCAGAGGGGCTGTCTGCTGGCCTTGACTTGGACCTTTCGAACACAGCGCGGAGTGATTCCTTCTCATGTTTCATCTTCCGCTTAAGAGCTTCCAGCTCGGAGGTGTCAGCTGTGGTCCCCTTTTTAGGGGGACGGATGAATAAGGCCTTAAAGGCCTCCAGGGCAGTCTCTGGTGGCTTTGCCTTCACCTGGCCACCCTGGACTTGGGCATCTCCAGAACGCTTCTGGCTCTCCTGGTCAGTACTATAGCCCATCTCGTCTGCCCCAGGGAACTGGGGGTCGGCTTCCTTCACTTCGGTTCTTGGCATGTCAATGTTGAGTAGCTGAGATAGCTGTTCCAGGAGAGTGGGAGTGGCCTTCGGATCGGTTGTTCTACCCTGGCTCTTCACTGTCTGCGGGCCTCCCTGCACCAGAGATTTATGAACAGGCTGGGTCAGCTTGAGCAAAGCCAAGTCTCCGTCCTTGGGTTTGATTTCAGTAATGGTCTCCCCTGCCTCCGCTGTAGCCCCCTTCTTCAGCACACGGAGCCCACTGAAGAAAGCTGGAAGCTGGAACGACTTCTCTCCGGGAGCTTCTCTCTCTCTTTTAGAAACAGTACTCTCAGTGACACCAGCAGTCTGGTCTGATGCGGCGGGTGGCCTTTCTTCTGCAGCCTGGCCCTGCCCGTGGCTGTGCTCTGCCGGATGGCTACCATCACCACCAGGGTCCAGTTTGCTGCTTGTCTCAGGTAAAGTTCTCTTAGAATCATCACGGAGTTCTGCATCATCAGTTTCCCCAGTGTCGTCAGAATCTCCAGGTCTTTCTTTGGGCTCTTGACATGGTTCAGATGAAACAACGGTGGTCGACTCCTGGGTATCAAGGCCACTTCCTTCCTCTGCCTCTTGGCCTCCATCTTCAGAGTCAGAATCACTGGTGGTGTGAACCAGGGTCCCACGGACCCAAATGACATCCTCACCATCCACACTCACAGTGGCAGGTGAAAGCAGCTCATGACCAGGGGTAGAGGTGTCTGATCTGGCTTTCCCCTGATTTCCCTCCGATCCTGTCTCCGCCCTTGCTGACTTCCCATCATTTTCAAGATCAGGTGGAACTGGAGCCTCTGGCTGTGGCTGATCTGAGCCTTCGCTGGGATCATCTCGCTCAGGAGCTGGATTCACCTCTAAACTGCGAAATGCCTTCAGCACAGCATCTTCCTCTTCAGGATCCAAGGAATCCAATTTACTTGTAAATCCAAACAGTGATTTCATAGAGAATTTACTCAGGATCGACTGAGCCATCTCCAGCCCGGCTTCGGATTTGTCGGGTTCCAGGACATCTCCGCTGTTGAGAGAGTTACCAACCTCCTCCATGTCCCGGCAGTGCCCTTGACAGAAGTTCTGCCTTGTGTTACCTGCCCTGCTCGCTCAGTTTATCCGCTCCATCTGCTCTTGACTTACAGGACAGGGAGCTACAGGACCGGGGAGAGAGCCAGGCTTTCAGCTGCTCAGAAAACACACTTGGTCTCTTTCAGGTCACAGAGCCCTCCCTTCCGGTTTGTTCGATGCCGGCGTGCCCAGGGCAACTTGCTAAGTCTGGGCAACTCTATGTCCCAACGCAGCTGGGGCCGCACACCTTACTACACATGGGCAGGCAGGCTGCTCTTCTGGACTTCCGTATTTACTCCCCAGGACAAAAGGCGTTTTGTGGCAGGCAAAGTCAGCCTGTCCCGTAATCCCAGCCCAGGACTTCAGGAGGAGCTCCGCCCCGTGCCTGCGATTCTCCTGGTCGCATTCAACTTCCTCATTGGTGAGCAAGTTGAGGTTCCTAAAAGTGCTGAGCCGGCAAGCTGGTCCTGACAGCCCTGAACCACCCCCTGGTGCAGCCCAAGAGATTCCAAAGTGAATCAGCAGAAAATGACCAAAGGACTTCAGAAGTGAGCCCTCTTTTCCATCCTGATCTTAATCAGAGGCCTGGGCCAGCCAGGTCCCAAACCCAGCATTTCGCCCACATCAACAGCCTCCTGCAAACCCCTAATCAAAGACAGGAAGTAAAGAAAAAGATCCTCTCAAAGTGCCCAGAACTCTCAGAGCAGTTAATTTACTACCCTTGGAATGTCTTTTGTTTTTAAATGCTTTCCTCCAGCTAGCCGGCAGGTTTCATCTGGAATGCAGATTTTCTCTGACTGCTGGGAAGGAAAACCAACTAGACTGGTTTCAGATTACGACTGTTTTAGCTCTGCCCTGCCTGGGTGTTCTGCAAACAGGTACTTAGACAAGCACGCCCACCACGCCCAGAGTCCACCTACTGTAGAGCAGCAGAATAAACAGCCCCAGCCAAGTACCAGTGCTTACTGTCCGAATTATGGGCCAACCTTAAGTCTCTTTCTGTTCAGCAGCAATGACTCCCTCAGTGAGTTACAAATCCTGGTGGCAGAACAGACTCCTTTCTGCTTTGGTGTTGCAACCCAATAAATGGACCTGGCATGGCACGATTTTGGCATACAACTTGCCTTCTTGGTCAAAGTCATTCACCAAAGATTCCCAAGGATCTTTATTTCTCTAAAGGTCTAAAATATGTATCAGTTTTGGTCTCCACTGCCCATTTTGTGCAAAGAAGCAAAAACAAAGAAACACAGCACAGATTGGGTAAAATGCCATTTGCATTATATGCTGCAGACCTAGAAATCTGAGGCTGTAGGGGTAAGGGAATCATAGTTACCTAGTTACCTCGGGACAGCTTCCTGTCAAACCCTGTCTGAGGAATTCTGCTTGCAATAATGCATTTTAACAATGTATGATTGCACAAAAGGAAAACACAAACAAAGGGTGTGTATATTCCATCAAACCTTATAGGAAAGAATAAACCCTAATTGGTTCCTGTGGCTAAATTGTTCCTGGATGACCCCCGACTCTGACATTTTGGGGTTACTAACTGACCTAAATTTAAAAGGTGTGGTGCTAGGAATGTAGCTCAGTCAGTAGAATGTGTGCCTAGTATGCACAAGGCTTTGGGCTCAATCTCCAGGAGAGCATACAACAAAATTAAACAAAACAAAGTAAACATCAGGGCAGGGTGAAAGAGGAAAGAAAGGAAGGAAGGAAGGAAGAAGGAAGGAAGGAAGGAAGGAAGGAAGGAAGGAAGGAAGGAAGGAAGGAAGGAAGGGAAAAAGAGAAGGAAAAAGAAAGATTTGATAGTGCCATTCTGAATAAGCTTCCATTCTAGATTAAATGCTTATTGATAAAAATCTGACTTCTTTGAGATTATGGAAAGAAGAGATCATCACACCAGTTTCATGAACTACATACCCAAACACAAGACTAGAGGAGGAGACTCAGTTTTGCATACTTGGTGTTTTCCTTCTCTCTCAAGATGTTTCATTTGCTCAGATATAACTTAGGATTGATTTCAGGCACCTCCACAGACTTGGGCAAAAATACAAGCTGGAAGGGATCATTAGTCCCTCTACATCATAGCTCTGGGCAGACTTACAGGATTTCAATGTCCCTTCATTATCCACAGGTGCCAACACGATTTCATAGAAAATGGATCCAGACATTAATGG